GACGCGATCAACATCATTACAGACAGTACAACTGTAGGGATAGATATACTGGGGAAAAAGATTAGTATGCTTAGATTTGCAGATGATAAGGCAATAACATATTAGCGTCTAACAAGAAGGAGTTAAAGATACCTTTAAATAAAATGGAAGCGATATTGACAAAACAGTATTGTATGAAAATAAATAAAGTAAAACAAATGCAAGAGAAGAAAAAGTAACTATAGTGCCAATATAAAGATAGGAGACGAAAAATTAGAAGAATTGACTGATTCTAGATATCTAGGAAGTCAGATAAGTCAAGACGGAAGGAGTAGTAGGGATATAAAGCAGAGGATAGCGCACGGTCGAGTCGCCTTCAATAATAAGAAGTCACTTTTGTGCTCGCGAACGATCAATTTAGAAATTCGAAAAAGATTGTTAAAGGTGCATATCTGGAGCACGGCGCTTTACGGGTGCTAAACATGGACGGTGGGCGCGGCGGAAAAGAAAAGGTTAGAAGCGTTCGAAATGTGGTGTTACAGGCGAATGAAGAATGGGTGAACAGAGGACTATATGGAAGTCAATAGAAAATAGGCATGATAGGTTGATAGGACACCTTCGCAGGCGTGAAGGTCTAGTCAGAAACAGGAGTTAAGAGGAGTAGAGGTAGATCTAAATTTGATTGTCCGCAAATATTGGGTATCGGATGTTCTAGTTTTAGGGAGATGCAAAGATTAGCTCAGGATAGAAAGGAGTGGAGGTGTCTGTCTAACCTGTCTAAGAACTGACGACTTTATGATGATGTTGATGAGGTAGCGTCCAGAAGAAATGGAGCACCTTGTATTATTAAAAAAATCTGTATATACACCATATGATTTTATACAACTTTTAGAAAAACATTTTGTTATTATATATCATAAAAACAAAGTTGTGGACGAAATCGCCAAAATGGAATACCCTGTATATGATTAAAATTAATAGATATATTAAAGTATCTGCTTGCTCTGCTTTACGATAATTTGCATCTACAGTGTGCAATATAAAATTCTGTTCAGTGCACTGGCTGCAACACACATAGACTTTGTTTGATGTCTGCTCTTCAAAAGGTCTGTGGAGGTAGTTTAGAATTGTAAGAACCTTGACATGAAAAACAGTTTGCATTATCAAGCACAAAAATACTTAATGGCATAAAAATATTTTATTCAAAACAAGCGCAATGTCCGTGTATTATCGTACCTTTATGCACAGTAAAGCATGAACGACGGCTTATGTGCCATGCACTAAAATCGAATGTTTCCGCTATGATGCGTTGTACATATGCAGTGGCCTGTTTTTGAGATACAATAACTTTTTATGCTGGTCGAAAATGATCCGCTATTTTTGTGGTTATTATCATCCAAGCAGGCGTGCTTTTCTGCTTTTTACGAGTGGTGATCCTGCCGTTATTCGAGATCAACGTTTTTAGGATTATGTACCTACAGGTATTATCAAAGATAATTTGTAAAATTCGGCATAATTGATAAGAGTTGTCGACCTACAATTTTTAAATAAAGCTTTTTTGTTGGTCAACATTTTTCCCTTTCAAATGAGTACACTTTAGACAGCGGTCCTGTAATGCCTCTAAATACTTGAAAATGTTCTCCTTCCTGGTCTATAATCCAGATTTCTGCAGCTTGTGTTACTTTCTTGCTGGGACTTTCAACTCTTTTTATGTGTGGAAAATAGGCAGTATTCAGATGGAGTCAAATCTAGTTAATATGGAGGATGATCTATCAGGTGGAATCCTAAATCGCAAATTTCATTCAGTGTACTCGACGACTTATGTGGAGGTGCATTGTCCTGCAAGAACAAGACGCTTGAGATGATTCAAGACTATCTCAAAAAAACAGAAACAGGAACTTTTCCAGCCGATTTTTGAACTCAAAATGTTTTGGTTCTTAGAGAGCTCGAATGTTTCCATTTTATTGATTGTTGTTTTATCTCAAGTTGTTAAAGATGTGGCCAAAATTAATTTGTGGTGACAACTCTGTTCAAAAACTTCTTCAAATCAGTCACATACTGAATGCGATATTTCAACTCGTTCTCACCTCTAATCCCGTTCAAGCATTTTGGAATCCATTTCGTAGAAATCTTTTTCATACCCAAATCGACATGAAGAATGTGATGAACTCTTCCATATGAAATTCCCAATGTTTAAGCTATTTATCTTACTATATTAGTCCAATTCGTCGGTCTGCTATTATGTCTCGAACAATACCGGTGTTTTTAGGGATTGAGAGACAGGCTACTGGTCGTCTAGAATTCCAAATTTTTCTCATTCAAAGGAAGCAATTCAATTCTTAATGGTCATAAGAAGAGCAGGTATCAGAGAGCGTATTGACCATATCGTCTTAATTCTCCTTTTCCCATAATCCATTTGGGTACAGATATGCTCCAAACAGTCAAGGCCAACTGTTTATCAACGCCCCCCTCCCGTAATGTTAATATCTTTCAGAAAAGTGATATAATTCATCTTATTTTTGAAGATTTTATTCTGCTACATGAAGGATCTTCGTTGGAAGGATTTCTGAAGATGAAGAATAGCGCAAATCACTGAAGCGTCACGTGATAATATAATTCAAAAAGTTCTTGGCGATCAGTATTCTGTCGAAATTGTGTCACAAGAATTACGATTTCGATGTCAATAAAGTTTCGGACCGTCTCCTTTTCTAGTAAGGATCGCGGAAAACAAAAAGCTCTTGAGGACCAGTGTTCTATCGAAACTTTCACACTTGGATCGCCATTTCGATGTCACTGGATCTCATCAGCACGAGTACCAAGAACTTGTGTTTTGATTAGCTACGTTATACCTATCACGTAGTTCCTACGCCGTGAATTCAGTTCAACAAGTCGATATCTTTACTGGAAAAGTACCTTATCGGACATTATTAAATCCGCAATAAGCTTATTTCAAACAGAAACTGTCAAACAACGGCCTTATTATTTTTCCGTATGCCTATTTATAAATTTTTATTCAATTAAAGATAAATCTCATCTCATTTCGGAATTTTTACATTATTAATTACCTGTTCTATAAAAAAAACTGACTGTCGATAAACAAATGATGTTCTGTTATATTATATATTTTCTGTGTTCTTGTCCTTCCAATTCAATTGTTTCACCACAATTTTTATTCTGTGATAAAAATCTCGAATATTAAGGCTACACAAGAGGCAGAAATTTAAGAAGGAATTTTGTGTACAATCTACAGCACAAAGGAAAGAAGTTAAATCAGAGACGTTGTTACCTAAACAAAAAGAAATATATTCTCTTCCATTATCCTTCACTCACATAAATGACTAAAAAAATTGGAAGGTAGCAACTACACATAAAATAAATGGAAATCCTCAATTGATTTTCATGCTTTATTGTACGATAGGAATCAATAGGTGATGTTAAAAAGAATTTTTTATAGACCTACAATCAATATGTTGATTTCATTAAAGATATGCATTTATTCCGTATAAGTAAATAGGAAATGGTTTCAGAGTTAATCCCAATTTAATTTACACCTCAAGTGTTCAAGAAATCCAATCCGTTTGCTTTTTCATTATCCACTTTTGTACGACTAATTTCCCCACTCATTAATGAAGTTAAACATTAAACGGCGCATTTCGAAAAGTAACTGCAGAGTAAATTTCTTAAATATCGCTGGTAAAACATCGGTATAAAACGATAACAACAGTTAGATGAAACAGTTTTTCCTTTGTATCTTTTAATCTTCCAGGTAATGAATTCTTCTAAGGATGTTTCGCTTTTGTATTCTGAGATTTCTTTAAAATGTAACGTAATGTATTATGGCTTTAATATACTGTCATGCACTATTTGTGCTTTATTTTATGTCGTAATATGTACTAATATGTCAGAGTGAATGCTCCAGATAGTGTAAGCATGTCTGCAACGGAAATTGGTGTAACTATCTGTTCTGATGGTACAATATTTTGAATGGAATTAAGTGACTATTATAACGTCTCACTAAAAGACAGCTCTGCGTTTTAAGCCTACTTTAGATGTCCAGAATGTTGGTGGTTAATAGGTACTTTTTAATTAAAAGTCATGAATTTTAATGGGATTGGTGTACTTAAGTACTGACTATCAGGGTTGCCGGGTCTGCTCGTTTCTCCACTATAACCTACCTACTGTCGTGGATATTCTTGTTATAATTCAGTGAACAACAATAACAGTATTGAACAATTGTACCTCCGAATTCTTTCGGACACCAGCGATTTTAATGAAAATACTTTGGCCGATCGATCGCTGTAGTTTTTGAGTCCTTATTTCACCTCTACGCATAGGTACTGATCTACGTTGTCAATTCACGCTCAGGACCGGCTTCGGATGTTTACTTGTTTGTTAATAATGCTGCTGTACTCTTCATGCGATTCCCTATTGCACCTAGTTGACACTCTCCAAGCTTGCTACTTATTTCAGAAACACCTGTGTGAACATTTATCGAAAACCGTATTGTTGTTATTATATTATAAATAAAATCAGATCGATTATCTATTAATAACCGTTTACCATCAGCGACTTACTCGAACATTTAAATTTCTAAAGTTATTTATTATGGTTGTCAATATTTATTTAATTCACCCTGTACCAATATCATTTGTCAAATTTATTTTTATCACGTAGGTCATGTAATGCGTGGGTTGGGAAAACGAAACTGTGCCTGTCGGGACGTATCAAGTAAATTACACGTGTAAAAAAATGTGATGTCAGGGCTGGAGACTTTTTTCTTATAAATTTGGACTTCCTTGTAAGTAATGTATTGAAGAATACAAAAATTTATTCTTATAGCTAACTACAAGTACGATACATTAATTATTATTATTCGTTAATACTTTTGATTGATTAACTTCAAAAATCAAAAATGTTGGGCATTTTAAAGAAGACCTATTATTTATGCCATGTTTAAATTCCATGGTGACTAACCATGTGCTTTATAAAAATTTAAAATCCATCAAGTTTCCATTCTGCAGTTCCAGAATGAAAGCTTTGAAGCAATCGAAATCGTCAAGCGACATCACCAACCCCACGGTCCCGGGCAGCAAAGGCCAAAAGCCACGCTGAGCGATGCAAAGGCTTCGCACGACGTTTCAGCGATCGCGCACCCCTACCGGCAATGAAATGAAGACACAAAGCAGCCTCGAAGTACCCAAACAGATCCGATCTGCTTCATTCGATGAGATCCAAGCTAAACGTCTGCAAACCAACCCGCAATCCTCGGACCCAAATTCATTTCTTCGGGTGCCTCAGTTTCAGAATACGCGTTCCAAAAGCGTCGATTCGAACGCGAGCGATGAATCGGGCAATTTCCTGGAAGTTCCGTCGAAAAAGTTTCCACGACGAAAGTCATCCGGTGCGCGACCGTTCGTATGCGTTCACTGTATGTACCTGGAGGAATCGAAACAACACGCGGCAGAAAAACCACCCCCTAAACCTCCAGATTTCCGATCGAGTCTCAGTATCAGCGAATTCTCCTCATCATCTTCCGAAGAAGACATGGCTCCAATTCCTCATTGTTCTATAACGGTCACCGTATCGCCAACGCCTAACTCGCCTCCACCAAGACCTCCTCCGCCTATTCTAACCTCTCCTGTCATTGAATATTATTCGCCCGAAAGCGAGCCAATTCCTCCAGCAACAGCTGTCAGGAGACGATCAATACAAAGGCAAGAGGCATTTTTGGGAGAATCGACTGGTAATTCACTGGAGGATATGAAAGATGTTGCATCTGAAATGACGTCTGACGGAACATCGGAGGGAGCATTGTCGGAAGGTGATTGCATAGCGATTCCGGACGTGGTGGTTAGAGATATTTACCTCCAGGTACCGGACTTAAAAAGAGACCGAGCAGCATCGGTGGACTCGTGCTTTTCTAAGGTGTCTCAGGGTAAGACGGAGGAATTGCAACATTCTGGTGTTAGCTTGGAGGTTCCAGTGGGGCCGAATGTCGCGTTACGGTCCAGATCCGTTGATATCGTTCTACCCACGGACGAACAGGCGAGGTATAAAGCCCTTGCAATGGCTGCCCCTCCAGACGAAACCAGTTCGGATAGAAGAGGGTACGTTTAATGTTGCATGATCAGTGTTTCTATGTTTTCTAACACCGTTATGCCAATCACTTGATTTGATACATTAAACAACAACGTAAACAATAAGATAAAAATTCAAACACTTTGATTTTCTTCTTAGAAATGATTTAAGAATACGACCCAAAACCTTTCATTGCGTTTTATATCACCTAGTAAGCAAAAAGAAATATGTGACCTCGATTCACTTCATTAGTGTTGTCTTTTCGATTATCAGTCAATATATCCTTTACTTATTGAGAAATCTTTTGCAAGCAAAAATATAATTTTTTATTCTGTTTGAGCCCTTTGGTGTAGACACAAATCATCAAACCCCTTTAGAAATGGTTCAGCCTTTGAATCAATGCGTTCTTGATTTTGTATTGTACGTATAACTTGAAAAGAGAATTTTCCAAAGCGACGACGCAATTGAGCTCAACTCCAATTTCTAAATGCACTCCAATCTAACTAATTAAATATCGATTAGTGTCACAAAATGTAACTCTGCAAACGTATGTCAGCACATATGTACTACGTTCGTCGTTCAATGTCGGAGTAATTTGTCAATGATGTGGGTAATTTAATTATTAAATTAGCTGAGAATATCTACTCTTTGAAAGTATATATATAGAAAAATTCATGCAGGTGAGTAAATATGTTCTAATAATAGTGACAAAGGACCAAAATGGCTAACGCGATAATGTTAGGGAAAATAAAGCAAGCTAATGTGATGAGGAACATCAGAAAATTATTTAGCAGGTGACCGTGGCCTTCATAAAATAGAAATGGTTGAGTGAATTTAAAAGGACAGTAAAGACACAGAAGAATACTTTGCAAACTCATCATCATAAGCTCGTCAATCTTAAGACTGGCTGGACACGTACCTCCACTCTTTCCTATCCTGAGCTAATCGTCACATGTCCCTAAAACTAGAACAACCTACATCGTTAACTATTTTCCAACAATAATCTAATGTAGGTCTGCCTCTACCCTTCCTAAATCCCCTTTCTGCCTCTAGTATGTTTCTGACTAGACCTTCACGCCTGAGAAGGTGTCCTACCAACCTATCTCGCCTATTTTTTATTGACTTCCATAGAGTCCTCTGTTTTCGTATTCTTTCTAATATCTCTTTATTTCTAACATTCTGTATCCACGGTATCCTCATCATTCGCCTGTAACACCACATTTCGAACGCTTCTAACCTTTCCTTTTCCGCAGCGTCCACCATTTCGCACTCGTAAAGCGCCCGGTCCAAACGTACACCTTTAACAATCTGCTGATCAAGAATTGGAAGTTACTTCAGTAAAATTCCAAATTATTAGAAAACTGTTTTCTGAAGTTTGCAGTCCTGATTCTGGATTCTTCATCTCTAGGTTATCTTCTCGCTTGTATTGTTTAGTCGTAGTTGACGGGACCCAGCAATAATTCCTGATGATACTTACCATAGTTGTCAGTAAAACCTTAGAAATCGGAAAATGATATCCTAACAATGGATACTGGCGCGATTGTAGAAACCTGTATTACTTTAAAACTCTAAATGTTACCAATTGTGGTAGATGTAATTGTTGGAACCATTATTACTATTCTTTATGACCATAAAAGTCTTATGTCATCTCAGAAACAAGCTCTGGGGTCACTAAGTCAGAAAATTATTTCTTGCGATGAACCGCTGGTTTAGGCAAATAATCCATCTTTTTCCGTAAAGGGGGAAGGAAATTTTTTAATACGGAATGAAATATGAATTTACATATTAATTGGGGTTACGTCGAGACCATATTGAACGCCCCTTATATCTCAATTCAATACCTACCGTACAACGGTACAATTTTGCTTTTATTGGATATAGAGCAAGTTCTAATGGAAGAGAATCGCTTTCGAGGACTGTCAGTGATTTACTGCTAATCCACTACGTCCAAGCTCGAAATGCTTATTAAAAATTCATGGCAAGAGCTAGCACATCTGTAACAACTGTCCGCGTGCTCGTTATCATTTTATACAACAGGTTACTGTTTGCAGGGGAAATGTGTAACCTAATGATAACCAAAAGTAAAATTTGAATTTCAGATGAATTTTTGTAGGCTTTTCAATACATTGAAGTGAATTAACTTTTACCGCTGCAGATAATCTCAAATTAATGAGGATAAATTGTTGCTACTGTTATACCTTCGTTGGGAATCGAAAGCGTGCCTTTGGCTTTACGTACCATTGCTCTACCACTAAGCTACGAGAGGTTCGACGATTCTGTGACCTACGTAGACCAATGTATTATTGTTAAATTAACATTAAATTACCACACCTACGATATCAAGACCAAGAGTAAGATTCGGTTTGAAAAGTGATAATTAAGACTAATCCCGCGCACGTACAGTTACAAGAATAAGAGTGAGTTAGGTTCGACTTGAGAGACCTAGACTAAAACCATGACCAGATGGGTAAAAATCGTTATATTTTAGAGACTTATTAGCAAAGCTGTGGATCTATCACGATCTCGATAACTATTCTAATTAATACCTAATGCTATTAGAATACGTCAACCCCAACACCGATGGCGCAAAGTCAAATATTGCTGGACCCGTCACTTGATTAATCTGATACGTCTCCTTCTAATTTGGGGCAATTACACATAGTAAATTGGGCCAAAAGTTTATTAATAGATAACAGGTAGGATGCCGACATGTTTTAAACTCGAATCAATTTATTTCCATCCAGTTCTATTACCGAACCCGTAGGTTAAAAGAGGGAGAATGTATTAACCAAACTTCCGATGTCGTTACAGTCAACTATATTTGATGTAACCTAAAATCCAAACGTTAATGAAAATTATTAATGTGTAGCAATACAGCCTGCCCAGTAGATAAATTCAGAAGAGCGTCATGAACGCATTATCCCACAGGACTCCCTTGAAGCAACGTGTTTTGCCTATACATAATTTACACTAACTGTATATGGGTTTTCGGCAGGCCCGCCGCTAGATGTCTGTACGCCCGCTTGCAAAAGAAAGTTATGTCGGAACAAAAAAGTCGGAAAAAAACGCTTGAATAATTTTTCCTCAAAAAAATGTCACAGTGAAATGTGCGCCCTCGGAAGAACGAAACCTTAAATATAACTTTTACTTTTATTTTTAATGAGAAATGCCGCAAGTCGTCCGATGATTAATCCATGCAGAAAAAGCTCCCACAAAATAAAAAGAAATAAATTAATGACTGTATCTTTGTGAGCCTTATTAAAATAAAAAGAAAATTAATTAATAGTGAACAATTTTTCATGCAATAATGAAAAATTATTCACACATGTACAATGGTTTAACTTAATTTATAATGTATGTTCCCGTTTAAAATAATTTTTTAGAGATTTGTGTCGATGAGGCACTTTTTACTGGGGCTTTTAGACGGTGATAGTTTCTCGGGGTATTCTTTCGGTAAACCATGCCGGTCCTACTCCCTACTTCTTGTTCTTGTGTTATAAATGGGTATCTGCGAAACATGGACAGTGGGCGCGGCGGAAAAGAAAAGATTAGAAGCGTTCGAAATGTGGTGTTACATGCGAACGATGAGGATTATCGTGGGTAGAAAAGGTTAGAAATTAAGAGGTATTGGAAAGAATAGTAGAACAGAGGACTCTATGGAAGTCAATAAAAAATAGGCGAGATAGGTTGGTAGGACACCTTCTCAGTCATGAAGGTCTAGTCAGAGACATATAAGAGGCAGAAACAGGAGTTAGGAGGAGTAAAGGTAGACCTAGATTAGATTACTCTTCGCAAATAGTTACGGATGTGGGCTGTTCTAGTTTTAAGGAAATGCGAAGTTTAGCTCAGGATAGGAGATGATTATGATGATAATGAAATGGGTATCTAAAATACGTGTGTTAAATTTTAATTGTCGTTTCTTTAGCTACAAGCGGTATTTAATTTTAAAAACATGCCTAAATATTGTGTTATTTTATTTTAACTAGGACCATCTAAAAATAAATTACTAAAAATTATCTCAAAAAATGTATATTTTAAAAATAAAAAAAGGTGTAAAAAGGTGACCATATTCAGTTATAGCAACCGTAATTTCACAAATACCTACACACTTTTTAATTGCAATGTGAGCTACTTTTGTTATTTGCAGTCTGTAAAAGTGTAAGAACGTTTCTTTACAAAAGAACATCCCTAGACAAAAATTTCAGAGTCTTTCAGCGTCTCTGAGAGCGTCTCTCACAGTCTTTCACAATCTCTCAGTTATTACCTAGGTGTTTTTATGGATATCTCACAATCTCTGTATGAGAGACTCGAACGATAAAATTGTTAATTCAGAGATTCCAGTCTCTCGCAGAGAGACTGAATGAATAAAACTGAAAAATTGAGAGACTCGAGTCTCTTGTAGAAAGACTGGGATCTCTGAAATATGTTGAACTTGGAAAATTTTAACCATGTCTATGAAGACATTCGAGTCTCTCGTTCAGAGACTGGATACGAAATGAAGATCTCTCTATGAGCCACTCGAGTCTCTCGTTCTGAGACGCTAAACAATTTTTTTAATAGACTCTTTCAGCGACACCAGAGAGACTCGATGAGAGACAGAGACTCGAGTCTCGCTTTCAGAGACTCTGAGAGACTGAACATTTTTATCTCAGGATTTATTGGGTGCAATTTAGGCAATATTTCCGAGACCCCGAGACCCTCTTCTATTTTGGTAAGAGTCGGTCTACTTCACATTATGTACTTTTTTCTAAAATTTTAAGCATATTTTGCGACTGTACAAGGTAAAAACTGCACAATGATGAGAATTTGCCGCCCCACTAAGCAAGCGATGCACCCCTTGCACGCCCGCTTACGATAAGCCTAGTTTTTGGGTTCAGCAGAACTCTATTGTTGTCGGAATACCAGTCGTTAGGATGATTACCTACTTCAACAATTTCTTCATTTGTTTTAATACAATTTTAAGTTGATTTGTTAATAAAATCATTAAAACAAAGAGACCTGAGGAAATTTGCGCTTGACCTTAATGCCA